ACTCCTAGGCTCAAGATTCAGGCTTGCCATCAGGGCAGGGTCTAGGGAAAGTCCAAGCCTTGGAACAGGTGAGGGAACACCATGCTCAGTCTTGTCTTGTTTTTTCTTTTGTTTTCTTTTCTTTCTTTTTCTTGGTACTGGAGATTGACTCTAGGGCTTTTGCACTAATCTAGATCCCGAGCTCCAATCCCCCTTATTTTTTTTGAAATAGGGTATTATTGTGTCCCTAAATTGCCTAGGCTGGGCTCAAACTCAATCCTCCTTCATCAGCCTTCCAGAGTACTGTGCTAGTTTTCTTAGAGGAACTTATAAAGGAGTCTGACTAGAGCAAGGAGGGTAGGACAGATGAGCTGCTAGATGATAGGCTGGGGGAGTGGTAGCCCTGCTTACCTCCCTGGGGCACAGGGTGAGCCTCTCTTTGGGTGGTTCTCTGAGATCAGCATTGGCTCATCTGACTGGAAGCCTGGGCATGGGAGCAGCCCTGCCTCTCCCAGTACTCTGCTGTGATGCTGCTCTGAGGGTACAAACAGACTCCTGTAGATGAGGTGCAGCATACGGTGTGCTGCAGGGGCTGCTGAGTGAAGTTGCCTGTGCTACCCCAGGCCACTGCTCACAGCCTCCTGCCGCTCACTCCCAGACTCACTGCCAACCCACCTTGGCTTCCTATCCTCTGTGCAGCCCGCACATGTCCTCATGTTGGCTCCTACTCCCACCTACCAGAATAGAGGCCTAACACAATGGCAGCCAAGGCCTCTTTCCTGTTCCGGAGAGAGGTGGCCAGCTGGAATATAAATTGCTGAAGGTTGAAGAGGTAGACTAACAGGCCTGAGCAGGTACCAGGCATCAACAAAGCCTCCTGTATTGAAATCTGACATTCAGAAATTTTACAATACTTGTTCAAAACCCATACCTAGGAACAGAGGAGGAAACCCATTTTTCTCCCTTCTTTTCACCATGTACACTGAATGCTAGCATCTCTGGCCTCCTGGTATTACTCCATTGTCTGAGGGAGGCTCTTTTGTAGATAGTGGGAGATGTTCAAACACTAAAAGGAAACTCCCTAGTCTTCCCATGGTTTCAAAAAGGCGAAATTAAAGGGGTGGGGGAAGTGGGAGGGGAAGGGAGTGGGAGGTGAAATTATTTACTTGCCCCTGAGCTACCAGAACTGATGAGATCCTCCTGAATGTGCAGAAGAGAGCCTGGCCCATCCCTGTTTGCTCCAAAGCAGCTTCAGAGTAAAAGTGGGCCATGAGTGGAACCCCATAGGAGAAAATCAGATCCCCAGTTAGTGGCCCTGGGTTCCCCATTCCTTTGCTCCAAAATGATCCAGAATGAGCCAGGCTTCCTGAGATGCAGTCTCCCTTCTGTAAACAGAGAGTATGCTCCAAACTCCTCAATTTCCATGTGCTTTAATGACTCCATGTATGCAGACACAGCAAAGCACCTGGTGGGCCTCTCCTCCCTCCTGAGCCTCACAGGAAAGGGCACAAGAGCAAGCACCATGTCTGTGTGAGCACAGCAGCCAGTCAGCATTCCCATGGGCCAGCAGGAGGAACTCAGGGTCCCAGCCAAAAGAGCAGGGATTCCAGATCTCAGATGGTGCTTCTGGCTGATGGGGCTAGCTGTTTGACCTGTGTGTGGTATGGTTGTTATAGTAATGCTGGGGCCTTGGTGGAGGAGGCCTGGCAGCCTAGGTCCTGTGCTGGGTCATTTCCAGACCTGGTCTGCTCTTTTTGTGCCCCTGCTAAAGTAATAAGACCCTGACAGAAGGCATGTGACACAAAAACAAAAACACTGAGTCCTGGTGATCATTACCTGGTAGTGCCAAATTCTTGCCCTCCATTTTGCTCCTTGGTCCCCATATAGCCATTAACACAACAGTTCCATCAGACTCTTAATCTAGGCAGCAGACTCTTGAGTTACATATCAGGCAATGAGCTTCTGCTTGTAAGAAATATTCTGTTTTCTCTGATCACATATCCAAAGACCCCAGAGAGGCCTTGAAACTCTCCAAGTCACTTGTGTGGCCCTTATTCCTCTTTGGGACTCCTAGGTCCCTCCATCTGTCCAGTGGGAAGCAGTGCATCCAGATGACAAACCCTGAGCCCAGGACCTAGGTTGCCAGGCCTCCTCAGCCAGGGCCCAGGAGCATCCTAGCCGGTCTAATTACACCACCTCCCCACCCAGACAGGGCCCCCGTGATGATGCTCCCCTGTGGCTAATGCCTCCAACACACCTTTTTCCTCTCCAATTGGGCTACTCCTGGGATGCAACTGAAAATGGAGTGAGTGATATAGTTGAGTTTCCTGGAAAAAAGTTCTTTCCCTGACTCCCTACCACTCAGACACCTGACTTCAGAATCAGTTTCTTACATACATGCAGAACCTCAGGCCAGGAAGAGCTCAGTTCAGAGACACAAAGCCAATGCTAGTGAAGCTTTCTTGGCTTAAAATATCAGTTATAAATGTCCAAAAGAGATGTGGTCTTTCAGGACAGCTCTAACATCAGGAGTGAAGAAAACCTGCAAACTTGTTTTCTTAGTACAAGGACATGTGAGTAGGGAGGTAAACGTCCTCTTAGCAAAGTGCCAAAGGGCAACTGTGCTGGCTTAAAGATTATGTTCCGCTACTCCTCAGGAAAATGTGTCAAAGGTTAGGTTTCCTTGACAAGAATCAGACTGAGAGCCAACTCTGGAGACCCTGGCAGAATAGGGCATCTACCAGGCATGAACCTACAGAATGGTCTAAGTCAGCATTTCCCAAACTGGATGCCGTGTAACAGCAGCCATAACATGCTCTGTGAAAGCAAATCTGGGAAAGGCTGCCAACTACAGCCCTGTCTTAGGTGTCTCTGACATCCCCGAGGATGCAAAAACCCCTGAGAAATCTCACAGCAGGAACCATTTCATAGGCCAGCTGATCCCTGTAATCCCAGCACTCAGGAGGCTGAGGCAGGATGATCACTGTGAGTTCAAGACCAGCCTGAACTGCATAGTGAGACTCTTTCTCAAAAATAAATAAATATTTTTAAAAGAGCCATTTCATTTGTCTAGTCTAACATTTGCTTGAAGTACTTGGCCAAGAGGCCTGCTCTTCACCAAAAACTGAATGTGCAGGGGTGGGGATTTAGCTCAGTGGTCCCGCTGCCTGCCTGGCAAGCGGAAGGTCCCTAGTTCGATCCCCGATACAAAAAAACCAAACAAACTGAATGTGCAGTAAGTTTGAGGACCACTTTCCTCCTGGCCCTGAGCCTCAGCTTCCTCCCCACCCCATGAGGCAGATGGACTGAGTGTCCCCAAGGTCCTCCTACTCTGCCACTTTTTCCAGGCACAGCAGGTACAGTCCTTTCTGCCTTGTTGAAGGGTCTGGACTTGGGGGAGCCTGGAGGTATGGGCTGTAGCATTGTGAGGGCTGGGGTGCCCACCAGGAGAGACTGGTGACACTCTATGCAGCTTACCCACCCTACCAGAGACTGAAGCATAGGTGAACATCTCAAGAAGTCTGGGACCTAGAGGGGCAAAGCCAGCACAAGGAGGGCTCCTCACAGGGTCTGCTAAACCTCCTGCTTCTATAAGACCAGGTGCTTCTGGCTTCTCACTGGTGGAAACACACAGGCACACTTCCCTGGCCTCAACTGCACTGTGCTCAATACTGAGCAGCAGACTTACCTAACTGATCAGTGCAGCGATGGGCCTGTTTCTAATCACAGATGCAACAATCACGAGCATGTACGCCTACTCAGGAAGCCCCCACACTCCAGGAGTGACTCCAAATGCTCTGAGTCATCGCCTCACACTGACAGCTCCTTCCTTGGAATCTCACACTTACCTCTCGCAAACCACACATCCCACACCCACAGCACCTCATGGCATATATAGACCCTGACCTGTGAACAGTTATTCTCACTCAGCCCCCTCCCACACAGTCCAAATGGCTCCAGCTGCTGGTAATCCCAGGTGCACTGAGGCCCATGCCCAGGCGCACTGAGGCCCAGCCACTCTGCACCACGTCAAAGGGCAGAGCTTTGGATAGAGAACCAGACTTCTGTAAGTTATCCCTGAGTTGCAAGAGGAGGCCAACAAACCTAGGTAGTTAATTTCAAAGGAATGGCCCTGGCTAAACCGATACACAGGAGCACCCATCCAGGGTGCCAGAGAACCTTCAGGCTCTTAGTGAGGCATCCTGCAGCAATGCAAAGCATCTAAACAAAACCAGGATGGCACTGGGGACCTGGAATCCTCTGGATCAAGAAAAAGAGGTCAAATTCACAGAAATGGTTCCACAATAGCTTTTGTGGATGCTTGGCTGCCAGCCTAGGTCTCCACTTTACCCAAGGTCATCTCTGTGGGATGGGTAGCTTGGTCTACTACCCCAGGCCCCCAGCTAACTAGAACAGGAGCTCAGAGAGGAGTTTTCTAGCTGTCAAGGAGACAGGCAGGCCCAGGGCTACAGAAACTTGCCTCCCTTTGGACTCCAGCGGCTTGCACCATCTCCAAATGAGTAACTACTGGGAAAAAGTGTCCATAAGACTGTCACTGGCCTCCTCAAGACCGTTCTTCCAGGCCAAACTTGGACAGGTAAGAAAGTATGCCCTAAGGGCCGGGGATTTAGCTCAGTGGTTTCGCTGCCTGCTGTGCAAGTGCAAGGACCCGAGTTCGATCTCCAGTACCAAGGAAAAAAAAAACAAAACAAAATCTAAAATAAAGTAATATGCTGGAATTAAAAAAAAAAAAAAAAAGAAAGAAAGTATGTCCTACTCTGGGGCTCTGTCCAAGCTGTTGGTGTTGAGGAATCCCTCAGGAAATCTGGGACCAGGCCTTGTTCTCTGCTGCCACATCATGGAACCAGAAACCCTCCACCCCCACCCCAAATCAGGAAGACACAGATGCTGGAGGCTGAGAGAAATGACTGGGAAAAGAGTTGATGAAGGGAGGGAAGGGACCAGAGAGGCATGGTAATGAGGCAGTGAGTAGGTGGGGAACTGGTGCAGAATGTGGTTACCTGGGTGAGATGAGGGTTGGGGTTAAACCCACACTGGTTGCAGACTTTGTTGTGACACTGGGTGCAGGTGTTGAAGTTTGGCTGGCTGGGAGCTGACGTGAGGTCTGAGGTCTTGCATATGGGGCACAAGGTGCTGCTGGGAAGAGGGGCAATCTGGGGGACAGAGTAGGGCGATGTAGGGGTGCTGCCTCTGTCTGGTGACACAGACGGAGACCGCCCTGATCTCTGCATCCTGCTGTCTACTTGCAGCGTCCTACAGGGACCATCAGCCTCCTGACCTGCTGGCCCCTGTGCCCTGGTTTCCCGGGGTCTCTCATGGCCAAGAGCAGTAGCAGAAGCTTGCTTTGGGGTTGGGGAGGCTGTTCTCTGGCTTCCCAGGGGCTCCTTGGGGTCCAGTCTCCAGGAAATGCTGAAATGACATTGAAAATGAATGTGTTAGAGACATAGCTTAGAGAAGCAGCCTGCAAGATCTCTAGCAAGCTGGGTGACCCTGCCAGGCCCTTCACCACCCTCCTTCTTTTACCCAGTAGCATCCTCACAGCTACCACTTGCTGTTCTCTGTGCTGAGTCCTGATGCAGTCTTCCACTTCAACTCTTCATACCAGGCCACATGGCAGGGTCCTGGATGGACCATTCACTCTCAAAAAAGAGCAAATTCAGATTCCTTGGGTCTGGGGTGGGGTCTGTATTTTTAAGAGGCTCCAAGATGATGCCAATACTCTGGTCTGCCTGTTCACAAAGGCACTTTCCTTCTGCGGCCCTCCAGTGAGCCAGATGCCAGCCCAAGTCTAGCAAGAAGGGATGAAGTGCTATTTTTCCACTAGTGTGAGGTGGAGTGTGGTCTAAGACCCAGAGCTTGAGAAACTACTGAAAAAGGCCCACTGTGCCTGTGTACCATGTCCACCCTAGCTGGCCTGGCTGCAGAGGAGCCAGCAGAGTTGGGTAGTTTCATTAGGTAGAAGAGACACCTTCAGGCTGAAATTCAGTCCTCTATATTCCTTCTTCTCTGACCCAACTTAACTTTACTTCTGCCAATTTTGCTCTTTTTCAATTTGAAAGAGGCTGAGCACAAAAAGCCAAAGACAATGCTTGATATTGTTTCACACATGTCCACACTTGCTCTGGTCTGTGTTCATTTGGGTGGCCGCTGGCAGCCAGGGGACAGGGCACGCTCACTGAAAGACATTGTGCAGGGCACATTTGCTGAGAGACACTGCACAACCCAGAAATGCCTGCCCTGGACACTTCTGTCTTAGTCACCTGTCCCTGTGGAGTGTGACTGGCAGAGAAGACTAGTTGGTTTCTCCTATCTGAAGGCCAGCTGCTTGAAACCAATTGGCAGGACACCCTATGACAAGCTATTTCAGAGGGCAGTTGAAGCCTGCACAGGGAGGTCCAGCCCAAGACACTTGCAGTCCTTACATGCGGGCAGCTATGAATAGAGAAGCACACCCTCAGTCTCATAAAGACTCTTCTAGAAGCCAGGTGTGGTGGTGCTCATCTGTAATCCCAGCACCAGGAGAGGCTAAGGCAGGAGGACACAAGCTAAGAGTCCAGCCCAGGCAATTAAGCAAGACCTTAGTGAGACCCTAAAAGAATATGTGCTGGAGATGTAGCTCAGTGCAAAAGTCCTGAGCTCAATCCCTAGTATTGAAAAAAAAATTTCTAAAAAAAGAAAAACTATTAAATATCCTAGCACACATATCTCAATCACCAACAGCATATACCTAGCCATCTACCCCTCTGGGCAGCAGCAGCATTTCTGGCCCACATGTAGAACCTGGGATACTCTAGGACCTTCCAACAGACTAATATCTAGGTATCCTAAAAAAATATTTCCCATATGAAATACTTTCATTTTCATCTAAGTTATTTATAACTAGAATTTAAAAGAAGCTTTTTTTTTTTTTTTGGTTGTTTTTTGAGACAAGGTCTCGCCATACAGTTCAGGCTGGTCTTGAACTCATCATGTAGCCCAGGCTGGGCTCAAATTTGCAGCAATCTTCCTATCTCACCCTCCCTAAAAGAAGTTCTTGACACCTACTCAGGCCAGACTTGATGGTGCACACCTGTAATCCCAGAACTTGGGAGGCTGAGGCAGGGGGATTGTTATGAGTTTGAAACCACAGAGAACAACATGGTGAGATCCTGTCTCAAAAAAAAAGGGCTGGGAATTTAGCTCAGTGGTGCCTATGCCTGCCTTACAAGTGCAAGGTCCTGAGTTCAATCCCCAGAACCAAAACCAAAACCAAAAATAAAAAACCCAAAAAAACTAAACTAAAAAAAAAAAGAAAGCTACTCAGAAACTATTCACAGCCCTTTATAACATGTGACTGGGCTGTGGCCCCCTCCCTATGCTGTGCAAGGCCTTCTGGGAAATTTAGCAATTTCTACTACATTTGTGTTGCTTGATAAATGACAAGCAATCTTCCATGTGCACAATGACTTTTTTTTCTTTCAGTACTAGGGATTGAATCCAGGGTGTGCTGAACTATATCCCCAGTCCTTTTTATTTTGAGAGAAGATCTCATTAAATTGCCTAGGCTGGGTTCTAACTTGGTATTCTCCTGTCTGGCTATAGTAAATTTTAAATTCAATGTATATTACAATATAGTATTTCTGGAGGCATTTTAACCAGATCCAAATTGAATGCTCAATTTGGATTTCCTGAATGGATGGATTGTAAGTAAGCACATCATGGATAAGAAGAGCAAAATGTGGCCCAAAATGTTTTAGGGCCAGGTAAGTATGGCAAGAGCCTGGCAAGGCATTCTCTTGGCCTGAGTTCCTGCAGGAGAGAGCTGCGGAGACAATACTGGAGTTCTAAAGGGCTTCTGGGCACATCCCAGACCCATCATCCAGAATGCTCTGCTAATATTAATGGTGGTGAAGTGGACTGAGCCCTCACCATGACCTGCCTGTCACATACTAACATCTTTAAGCCCAAAAGCAAATTCACGGTATAGAATCCATTTTGCACATTTTACACACAAGGAAGCTGCCACATGTATAAGTTTAACTTGCAAAGCCACCATGATGTGCAAGTGATATACAGACCCCAGTTCACATCCTTGACTACTGTCCTGTACTGCCTTTCTAGGGGAACGCAGTATAGCTGCAGAGGGGTGGGAAGCACCGTAATTTGGGCTCTTCAGGTTTTTTTTTTGGTACCAGGGATCGAACTCGGGACCTGGTGCTTGCGAGGCAGGCCCTGGAACCACTGAGCTAAATCCCCAGCCCTTCAGTTTCTTTTTTCAAAGAGCTGTTTAATGGATGCTCTGCAGGAAGAGGTATCTGGTTTGCTCCCTGCTGCATGCCCAGGACCCAGCACCATGCTTGGCATTGAACAGAAAAATGTGAACAGTACAGTGAGCTCACAGTGGAGCTGAGTTAGGGCAGTGACATCATCAGTTATGACCACTTGAAGCTTGCTCAGCAACTAAAAGACTTACAGAAAAAAATGACTCCAATATCAGATATTCACTCATTCATTCAGGCTTTTGGTCATTCACATTTACTGATTCTTGGACTACTTCCAGGCCCTGTGAAGGTAGTAATTGTAAAAGAACTCATATCCTCAGGTGTCCATTGTATTGTCATTCTTTCATCATATACATATTTTCACTATAAAAACCTATTCGATATTTAATTAAAATAAAACTTAAAAAAAGTAAATCAGAGGGATCCAATCCTCTAGGAGCCTCCAGTCTACAGAAGAAACAAACATCCAAACAAATTGCTGCAAGCATACTGCCAATGTCCCAGGGAGGTCAGCAACCTCAGACCGCTCAGGGAGACATCACACTAAGACTAAAAGGTTGGCTACTCTCCCTGGAGTGCAAGGGTACTAGAGGCAGAAGGAAGAGCATAGGTGGTGTCAGAGGCGTCAGTGCCTTCTGGGTGGCTGTGCAACAAAAGTTAGTTATTCCCAGCACCTACATCAACTCCCAACAACAGTATGTTGAGCTTTATGAATTAAGCAGGAAGCTCAACGCTACAATGTGAAGGGCCAGGACAGCAGGGCCTCTAAGGTTTCCAGATAGGTGTTTGGGCTCTGTGTCAAGAGATGCTGGAGACAGGAATCCAGCAAAGATAAGACAATAGCCTAGAAGGAGTCCCTGAGTGAGAAAAAGAAGGGACAGTGGGCATTATGCTTGAGTCACAAGGAGGAGTGCTCCTGTAAACTGAGGTGGGGAGTTGTGGGAGAGAAGCCCATTAGGGGATGAAGGGTATAATAACAAAACCACAAGGGTGGGTTTGGTGTGGTTGAAGTATGGTAGGGGGTGGGCAAGAGACATGGGGAGAGGGGTTATAAATTTATTTCAATTCAGGTAAGTGTAGATATTTTTACCTGGGAGAGTTAAGGGTTCAGCACACAGGTGATTCTCAGGAATAGAGACTACCAGAGAGCAGTGATCCAGGAAAGACTGTAGAGAGTAGCAATATTTATGGGAGTAGAGGAGGCACCTGAGACAAAGCAGTCAGACAAAGGAGGACAAACACCCACAGGGGTGCCCATGGGGTGTAGCACCCAACAATGTGGACCCAACAATGCATGATGAATCTACATATCTGAGGCTGAGGAGCTGCAGAAGAAAAGGCTACACCTATGAGGGCCATACACCATGAATGCCCCATCCCTCTCTCAATGAACACCAGCTGGGCTGGGGCAGCTTGCCATGCTGCTGAACACAGCCCACCACAGTGGAGCTGTCTGGACACAGATCCCACAGAGTCAGGGAGGCAGGAGCAGCCTGAGAAGAGAAGAGGTAATTCCTCCAGGAGGCCCTTCTCAGGGGTACACACAAAGACTCTACAAAATATAATTGCTAGGGAAAATAAAGAGAGGGAGCCAAGAAAAAGAGAAGGACGTGTCCACGGGCAGGACCCAGGCCTGTCCCAGGAAGATCCAGCCTGGTGGGCATGGACCATCACCAGGGAGGGCTTTTGAGGTCCGCACTCCTCTCCACAGCCTCAGGGAGCCCTGTACCTTGGGGAGGGCCAGATGAGGATGGTGAGCAAGACAGGGAGAAGGACACTGCTATACAGCAGAAAAGACACAGGAGATTAGGCAGGGGAGAAGGGAGAAGACAGATGTTAAGAACTAACTGAAAGCTGGGCATGGTGACATACTCCCGTAATCCCAGAACTCAGGAGGCTGAGGCATAAGGATCACCATGAGTTCAAAGCCAGCTTGGGCTACATAGTAAGTTCAAGGCCAGCCTGAACTATATAGTGAGACCTTGTCTCAAAACAAAACAAAACAAAAAAAACCCCAGCAATAACAAAACAAACTCTAACTGGAAGTCAAACAGGGAAAATTAAAAATTACCTTGTCTAAATTCAGTCCCCGGTACCAAAAAAAAAAAAAAAATTACCTTGTCTAGGGCCAGGGATTTAGCTCAGCGG